CCCCCGCCCGCCCCCGGCGGGTGGGCGCGCGCCCGCGGGTCCGGGCCCCAGTGCTCCGCCGCTTTGCTCCCGTCTCCCTGGTCTGCTGGCTCCGCCAGCAGACCAGGGAGACGGGGAGCAGCTTTTCTCGCCCCGGAGAAGGCAGGCGGCGGGACCAGGTGTCCCGCTGCTCTAGTTCTCCGGGGCAAGAAATCCCCGTTCGTAACATAAGTCGGATCCGCGTAACTCGGGGACTGTCTGTACTCAGACTGTTCTTATCTGAGTGGTCTGAGTCTCCCTGGTCTGCTGGCTCCGCCAGCAGACCAGGGAGACGGGGAGCAGCTTTTCTCGCCCCGGAGAAGGCAGGCGGCGGGACCAGGTGTCCCGCTGCTCTAGTTCTCCGGGGCAAGAAATCCCCGTTCGTAACATAAGTCGGATCCGCGTAACTCGGGGACTGTCTGTACTCAGACTGTTCTTATCTGAGTGGTCTGACTTTTTTCCCCTCAAAATGCCTCTGTGGGGACTGCTGAGGTAGTGAGCTTGCCCTTCTCTTGGACGACTTAGGCTTGTACTTCTTTGATATGTTCATCTGTGCTGAGCCCAGGTCAGAGGCATGTCGCTTGCCCTTGTCTGACAGGAGCATTTTAAGCTGGAGCTCCCTGTCTTTGCACGTTCGCGATTTTAGCTTAGCGCAGTGTGGGCAGTCCTTCTGCTAGTGTGAGTACCCCAGGCACTTAACACATCTATCATGCCCATCAGAGGCACAGCATCATTGCAGAGTTCACAGCGTTTGAAGCTGGGTGAGCCCATGCTGGCATATGGCTTTGAAGGCAGTTTGAGACCGAAGTCACCTTCTTTTTTTCTTTTTTTTTAAACTAACACTAACAATAACAACACTAAAGCTACTAATAAGCCTAATACTATCTAACTATGAACAATTAGTTTGTAAGAAATTTTAGTAAGAGCACTGCAGAGTTCCGTCCAAAGCCAGGGACAATAGAAAGGAATTGAAGGGAGGTGAGGGGGGGGTGCAAATGCATGATGGCACTAGGGGAAGCCTGTGTGCTTGGTGCGCCACACATGTGCAGCCACCTAATGCACTGCTATACAAAAACCTTTCCAGAGGTGCTGGGCTACTCAGTATCTAATGTGGAGCACCCCCAGGGATGCCTCTTGAAGAAGAACCATTGTGCCTGTTACTCAGAATGTCCTAAGATGGCATTGGTGGCGAAGTTGCCAGCACCGAGGGTTGTGCCGACTGCTGTGCTGAAGGGATGGAGGCTGCCTTCAAAACCACACAGCAGGAACAGATGCTTGTGACACGCAAGGTGAGGAGTGGGAGCGGCGATTGCTACAGTGCAGGGACTCCACCACTGATGGAGACCTCGGAGACTGGGAGTGCTTAGAGCATGGGAGCTATGGTGCCCCAAAGAACCACTCCTCGAGTTCAGGGAACAGTGTGGGAGAGACAAGCCACAGTGCTAGGATGGGGACTGGGAGAAATGGCTCAGTGCCAGCAAGCATCTATAGCATGGTGCTGTGGTGCAGTGAGTAGGGAGAGTTGCTATCTCTTTGATGCCTTTGGTATCAGGGGGTGCATGCCTGCATAGGTCTTCACACTGACTCTGGTGATGTGGGAGATCGCGCATCATGCCTCGGTCTCTCATGTGCAGACCTATGGGGACTTCGGAATGCTCTCCTCTTGGACACCCAAGGAGAGCATGATTGGACCATACTAGGAGATCAGGCTGAATGGTAGTTTACCCCTGTGCTTGGTCCCCATTGGTGTTGGGGGGTGGCTGTACTGGCATGGCACTTATGTCTTGCACAGCCTGGAAGGCCTATGGCATGGATGGGAAATGGACCTCCAACACCAATGTAAGTGTCCTAGATGCAGGCTCCGTGCCTTTTGGGTCTTCTCTGGCCTGTCCACTGTCTGGTTGCTCTTCTTCCCATTATCCTTATAAGGGGACTTGTCTCTGCCCGGCATCCTAACAGGCCTAGCCAGTGCCATTGGTGCCGAACAGTGATGCCGTTCCTCTGTAACCTTCCTCATATAGGAAGGACTACAAAATAAGCAACTCCAAAAGATCCCAAAAGCAACTCCAAAAGCTTCATATGATATGGAGATTATGATACCTTCCATTCTGTGGACAAGGTTTCACAGTGCCCTTTCTGAAACTTCCCCCTCTGAACTATCTATGCCAGCAATTTTCACAATCACTGCATGTACTTAATCTGTAAAATGATTTAAGAATGGCTTAATACTTATATACATTACTTATCATACGAATTATTCTGTCATATGCAGCTTCATGGTTTAATTTTAACCTTTTCTTAAGACATTAAATGTAATTGCTGAGGTTGCTTTGTAAGAAAAGAGCTAGAAAAGAGAGATTCCATTCTGTAGAATTACTTGGCTAGACACTATGAAATTGTCTAATTCAGGGATAGGCAAATACCCGCTATTGCAGCTCCTATTGGTCGGATATTTAATTTCAAGGTCAATGGGAGCTACAGGAATCAGTGTCCCAATCCACACTGCTTCCCATTGCTTTCATTGGCTGGGAATAGTGATCTGCGGCCAACAGGAGCTGCAATCACTGCTACCTGCAGCCATGCAGTTAAATACAGTGGCAGTGGCCCAACAGGGGCTAACCCTGGTGAATTGCCACTGTCTTATTGCCAATCCTTGGTCTAATTCTAAACCAGGGATTGGCAATAACAGAATTAGAACAGTTTTGCCTTTAAGACTTAAAGTTAGGGCCAAAGTTTTCCAACCTGGAAGTCAATGAGCTCTATGGGATAGTTTGGTCTACATCATTTTATTATAAATAGCAATTGAAAAAATTCTGATTTACTAGATAAAAGAACATTCCGATATAGATAAAGATTAAAGTCACGTTTGCTGACCTGAACAGCAGTTTCACAGGTAACAGTATATTCCATTTCTTGCTTAGTTAGGCAGTTCAGCTCTCCTATTATTGCGCCACTGACCAGGTAGTCAGTGTATATCAGCGTTGTAGGATATCTCTGCTCGTATATGTCTTTGTCAATTCCATAGCAAGGACTGGAACCACAAAGCTGTTACATTAATAAAAAAATAAATTAATAAAAATATAAGGCTCCAAATGGGGAAAAAAAAGTAAGTCAATGAAACAAAAGGAAGAGAGATGAGCCAGACATTAAATATTAATAATAACCTTTCACCAATAGTGAAATCCAAACATAAGTGAATATGACCAACATTTATGTTGGTCCAAAAACCTAGAAAAATATTATCTGGAAGTTCTGCTTGGCTTTATTTTTCTCTGGAATTATCAGAATGGAGATCATCTCCCCCCACTTTTTTGTAGTGGAAGTCTCTAGAAAGCTATGCCCATTTGATCTTTCAGCTCCCCGGGCCTCCAAATGCTGAGAGAGTAATAATTACAGAACTAAAAAAAATAATGGTAGCTTAGGAACAAGTGAGGTTATATTTAGCATATTAGGAAGAATAAAGTACAGATGAGTACAGGTTGGACCTCACTGGTCCAGCACCCTTGGGACCTGAGCTGTCCTAGATCAGGCAGTTTGCCAAATCAGAGGAGGTGAGTGCTTCCCTGTGGGCTGCACAACTCCTGGGCTCCCCTTCTGGGGCTCCCTTCCCTGCCACTGACCCCCTAACACTGGCCTGGCATGGCTCCCCACCCTGCTGCTGCCTGCTACCCCAGGGTCTCCTGGTGGGGATCTCAGAGGGTATGTCTGCACTACCCCGCTAGTTCAAACTAGCGGGGTAATGTAGGCATACCGCACTTGCAAATGAAGCCCGGGATTTGAATTTCCCGGGCTTCATTTGCATAAG